GGCGGCCTTGGTGGCCCTGGGGTGGCCCAAGCACCCATAGCTTTGTTTCAAGGTGGCTTTGAGTGACCTCAGGTTGGCCAAGACCCCACAGCGTGACCCTTGGGGTGGCCTTGGTGGCCCCTGGGACCTTAGGGTGGCCCAAGGTCCTGCTGGGGTGGCCTTGGTGGCCCTGGGGTGGCCCTAGAACACATAGCTATGGCCTTGAGGACGCTCTTCTTGGAGGTGTCCTGGATCTCCCCCCCCATCACGAACTCGTCCAGGATGAAATAGGCCTTCTCGAAGTTGAAGATGATGTCCAGCTCGCAGACCTACAAGCGTGGGGCGGGGAAGGGGGAAGAAAAGCCATGGGGTGCCCCCCAACTCCCCCCTCCGCCCGGCCTCGTTAGCGGCTAAGCTTGATTATCCTCGTTAAGAGGATAATCCCTCCCTGGGGGGGGGTGGATTAAGGGGATGGAGTTAATAGGATGGAGGTGGATTAAGAGGTGGCTTTTGGTGGCCCCGTGCCCACGGTGTGGGGTCGGGGGGGCCCATAGAAGGGAACTTTGAGGTGGCCCCATGGCCATGGTATGGACCTTGGGGTAGCCCAAGGTCCTGCTGAGGTGGCCTTGGTGGCCCTAGAACCCACAGCACTGCCCCAAGGTGGCTTTGGGGTGACCTCAAGTTGGCCAAGACCCCACAGCATGACCCTTGGGGTGGCCTTGGTGGCCCCTGGGACCTTAGGGTGGCCCAAGGTCCTGCTGGGGTGGCCTTGGTGGCCCTGGGGTGGCCCTAGAACACATAGTTTTGTCCCAAGGTGGCTTTGGGTTGACCTCAAGTTGGCCAAGACCCCACAGCATGACCCTTGGGGTGGCCTTGGTGGCTCCTGGTGGTCCCATGACCATGATATGGACCTTAGGGTGGCCCAAGGTCCTGGTGGGGTGGCCTTGGTGGCCCTGGGGTGGCCCTAGAACACATAGCTTTGCCCCAAGGTGGCTTTGGAGTGACCTCAAGTTGGCCAAGACCCCACAGCATGACCCTTGGGGTGGCCTTGGTGGCCCCTGGTGGTCCCATGACCATGATATGGACCTTAGGGTGGCCCAAGGTCCTGCTGGGGTGGCCTTGGTGGCCCTGGGGTGGCCCAAGCACCCATAGCTTTGTTTCAAGGTGGCTTTGAGTGACCTCAGGTTGGCCAAGACCCCACAGCGTGACCCTTGGGGTGGCCTTGGTGGCCCCTGGTGGTCCCATGACCATGGTATGGACCTTAGGGTGGCCCAAGGTCCTGCTGGGGTGGCCTTGGTGGCCCTGGGGTGGCCCAAGCACCCATAGCTTTATTTCAAGGTGGCTTTGGGTTGACTTCTTGTAGGCCAAGACCCTACAATGTTGCCTCAAGGTGGCTTTGGGGTGACCTTCAGATGGTCAAGCCCCCAGGTTGACTTCTTGTAGGCCAAGACCCTACAACATTGCCTCAAGGTGGCTTTGTGGTGACTTTCAGATGGTCAAGCCCTCACATCATGGCCCTGGAGTGACCTTGGTGGCCCTGGGGTGGCCTTGGTGGCCATGGGGTGGCCCTGGTGGCCATGGAGTGGCCCTGGTGGCCTTGGGGTGGCCCCAAGTTGTGCCCAAGCCCTTTTGGTGCCCACTCACGCTGCCAAAATACTTGTCGAGGAGCTCGACGTAGCGATGGATCAGCTCCAACGTGATGAGCTCGTTGTCCTGCCCTTCGATGGCGCAGCAGAAGTAGAGGCTGGCGTACCTGGGGGAGGGAGGGGACAATGACAAAATGGAGGGGCGGGGTGGGGACACGCACCCCAAAACCCATCAGAAGACATCAAGAAGCCCCCAAAGGTGGTGTGCTCTGAGGACACGTCAAGAAGCCCCCAGATGTGATGTGGTGTGGCCATAGCACTGCCCCAAGGTGGCTTTGGGGGGACCTCAAGATGGCCAAGTCCCCCAGCATGGACCTGTGGTGGCCTTGGTGGTCCTAGCATTGCCTCAAGGTGGCTTTTGGTCACCTCGGGTTGACCAAGCACCTACAACATTGCCCCGGTGACCTCAAGTTGGCCAAGACCCCACAGCATGACCCTTGGGGTGGCCTTGGTGGCCCCTGGGACCTTAGGGTGGCCCAAGGTCCTGCTGGGGTGGCCTTGGTGGCCCTGGGGTGGCCCTAGAACACATAGTTTTGTCCCAAGGTGGCTTTGGGTTGACCTCAAGTTGGCCAAGACCCCACAGCATGACCCTTGGGGTGGCCTTGGTGGCTCCTGGTGGTCCCATGACCATGATATGGACCTTAGGGTGGCCCAAGGTCCTGGTGGGGTGGCCTTGGTGGCCCTGGGGTGGCCCTAGAACACATAGCTTTGCCCCAAGGTGGCTTTGGAGTGACCTCAAGTTGGCCAAGACCCCACAGCATGACCCTTGGGGTGGCCTTGGTGGCCCCTGGTGGTCCCATGACCATGATATGGACCTTAGGGTGGCCCAAGGTCCTGCTGGGGTGGCCTTGGTGGCCCTGGGGTGGCCCAAGCACCCATAGCTTTGTTTCAAGGTGGCTTTGAGTGACCTCAGGTTGGCCAAGACCCCACAGCGTGACCCTTGGGGTGGCCTTGGTGGCCCCTGGTGGTCCCATGACCATGGTATGGACCTTAGGGTGGCCCAAGGTCCTGCTGGGGTGGCCTTGGTGGCCCTGGGGTGGCCCAAGCACCCATAGCTTTATTTCAAGGTGGCTTTGGGTTGACTTCTTGTAGGCCAAGACCCTACAATGTTGCCTCAAGGTGGCTTTGGGGTGACCTTCAGATGGTCAAGCCCCCACAGCATGGCCCTGGGGTGGCCTTGGTGGCCATGGGGTGGCCCTGGTGGCCATGGAGTGGCCCTGGTGGCCTTGGGGTGGCCCCAAGTTGTGCCCAAGCCCTTTTGGTGCCCACTCACGCTGCCAAAATACTTGTCGAGGAGCTCGACGTAGCGATGGATCAGCTCCAACGTGATGAGCTCGTTGTCCTGCCCTTCGATGGCGCAGCAGAAGTAGAGGCTGGCGTACCTGGGGGAGGGAGGGGACAATGACAAAATGGAGGGGCGGGGTGGGGACACGCACCCCAAAACCCATCAGAAGACATCAAGAAGCCCCCAAAGGTGGTGTGCTCTGAGGACACGTCAAGAAGCCCCCAGATGTGATGTGGTGTGGCCATAGCACTGCCCCAAGGTGGCTTTGGGGGGACCTCAAGATGGCCAAGTCCCCCAGCATGGACCTGTGGTGGCCTTGGTGGTCCTAGCATTGCCTCAAGGTGGCTTTTGGTCACCTCGGGTTGACCAAGCACCTACAACATTGCCCCAAGGTGGCTTTGGGGTGACCTCAGGTTGGCCAAGCCCCCACCATAGCATGGCCCTGGGGTGGCCTTGGTGTGGCCCTGATGGCCTTGAGGTGGCCCTAGAACCTATAGCATTGCCCCAGGGTGGCTTCTGGTGGCCTCAGGTTGGCCAAGCTCCCCCAGCATGGCCCTGGGGTGGCCTTGGTGGCCCCACAGCCTTGGCATGGACCTCGGGGCAGCCCAAGGTCCTGCTGGGGTGGCAGTGGTGGCCCTAGAACCCATAGCATTGCCCCAAGGTGGGTTTGGGGTGACCTCAGGTTGGCCAAACTCCCACAGCATGGCCGTGGGGTGGCCCTGGTGGCCTTGAGGTGGCCCTAGCACCTATGACATTGCCCCAGGGTGGCTTTGGTGTGACAGCAGGATGGCCTGGGGTGGCCTTGGTGGCCCTAGAACCCATAGCATTGCCCCAAGGTGGCTTTGGAGTGACCTCAAAATGGCCAAGCACCCACAGAATGGCCATGGGGTGGCCTTGGTGGGCCTAGAATCCATAGTATTAACCCAAGGTGGCTTTGGGGTGACCTCAGCTTGGCTGTGGGTTGGCCTTGGTGACCCTGGGGTGGTCTTGGTGGCCCTAGAACACATACAATTGCCCAAGGGTGGCCTGGGTTGACCTCAAGTTGGCCAAGACCCTACAACATGGCCCCAGGGTGCCTTTGTGGTGACCACGTTGACCCAACAATCGCCGTCCCACCCCGTAGGGTGGCCTTGGGGAGGTGAAAGGAAGGTGTAGGAGGGGTGGGGACAGGAGTGTCACCTCTTGTAGACGACCTTGAGGTCCCTCCACTCCAGGAAGCTGCACATCTTGGGTTTGCGGGCCAGGACCACCTGCATGAGCTCCCTCACCATCTTCTTCTTGTCCTTGTCAGCGGTGGCCAAGTACCACTTCTGGAGGCGCAGTTTGCCTTGGCGGCTGAAGAGCAGCATGAACCGCATCTGGGGAGGGGTGGGGAGAAGGTCAGTGGGGGGGACACCACACAGGGGACAAGAGGGGGACAGGGGAAGGGGGGCCTTGGTGACCCTAGAACCCATAACATTGCCCCAAGGTGGCTTTGGGGTGACCTCAAGATGGCCAAGCACCCACAGAATGGTCCTGGGGTGGTCTTGGTGGCCCTGGAACCCACAGCATTGCCCCAAGGTGGCTTTGGGGTGACCTCAAGTTGGCCAAGCTCTACAACATTGCCCCAAAGTGGCTTTGGGGTGACCTCAGGTTGGCTGTGGGGTGGCCTTGGTGGCCCTAGAACCCACAGCATTGCCCCAAGGTGGCTTTGGGGTGACATCAAGATGGCCTTGGTGACCCTAGAACCCACAGCATTGCCCCAAGGTGGCTTTGGGGTGACCTCAAGTTGGCCAAGCTCCACAACATTGCCCCAAAGTGGCTTTGGGGTGACCTCAGGTTGGCTGTGGGGTGGCCTTGGTGACCCTAGAACCCACAGCATTGCCCCAAGGTGGCTTTGGGGTGACCTCAAGGTGGCCAAGCACCCCCAGAATGGTCCTGGGGTGGCCTTGGTGGCCCTAGAACTCACAGTATTGCCCCAAGGTGGCCTGGGGGTGACCTCAAGATGGCCAAGTACCCACAGTATGGCCCTGGGGTGGCCTTGGTGGCCCTAGAACCCACAGCATTGGCCCAAGGTGGTTTTGGGGTGACCTCAAGATGGCCAAGCACCCCCAGAATGGCCCTGGGGTGGCCTTGGTGGCCCTAGAACCCACAGCATTGCCCCAAGGTGGCTTTGGAGGGACCTCAAGTTGGCCAAGCTGTACAACATTGCCCCAAAGTGGCCTCGGGGTGACCTCAGGTTGGGTGTGG